AGGCACTGGAATAGTTAAGTTGTGGATTACTTTCTTGAAATAAACTTTTTTTCCTGAGAATTAGGAAAAATACTAACCAGGTAACAATAAACAGTATGCCTCATAATTTAATTAGAAAAATCAAGTTTGAATCTAAATTCTGTTATACTATTCCTTTTTCAGATGTCAGTTTCTTCTTCAACCCTTGCCGTTTTCTCTAGTCTCGTCATTCATATGTGCTTTTACATCCTCCTGGTCACATGTTTCCTACAGAGAACAGAAGAGTTAGAATTTAAAGTGTGTTGTGGAGGGGACAACAAAAGTGGGTCTGAAGACAATATTAAAAATTCAGTGCAATAAGAGTTAGTGGGCTAAGCCAAGGAAAAGGAAAGAAATCTGAAGTAGTAGTTTGAATGTCAGATGACTTTTGAATTGTGGTTACTCATTTCCACATTGAGATGTCTTGAGTGGCATGTATGCTTGGTTGGCAACAAATTTGCTTCCCTCTTATTACGTGACCTTGAAGAAGTCATTTAATTTTCTTGACATGCTGCTTCATTATCCTTAAAATTAGTGTATGAATTTAGAAAGTGTATGAAGTAAAGGTTAAGAGTAGTTAATCAATTAAAACTGCAGCCTGTAGCTTTTCAATGAGTTACTTATAGAGCTACTTATAGAGTTAGAAAGATAAATGTATAGTTTTATGGTTTTTTTTAAAGATTTATTTATTTATACATACAAGAACTGGGGTACAGGCCAGAGGTGTGGGGAGTGAGAGGATTCAGTAGAGACAGACTGGGGAACAGAACAGGCAGACTGACCGAAATACACTGCTGAGGGGAGCAGCGGGCAAGTCAGGAGAGGTCTGCTGTGCCATGTGGGCAGCTCCCTGGCCAGGGATCAAACTCATGCTGCAGTGGCTGAGGACAGCTTCATACGTTGCGTCTTAACCCCTTGCACCACTTGGGAAGCCCTATAATTTTACAGATTTTAAAGTGACTACAGTAGAATAGCAAAGATAAGGAGTGTGTTTTAATCTTTGTTTTCAGTTCAGTCTATAGAACTCTGTAGTCAGGGAAAAACCCAGTAAGTTCTAAGTTAGCTCTTGAAAAATGCTTGTATATAAAAGAAACTGTATAAAGAGACCCAGATATAGTGTAAAAGATAGACGGTGTAAAAATGTCAAATTGTATATTTTTCCCCTATAGAATAATGGATAAAATTTAAATTATGTGTGGAAAAAAATGACTAATGAGTATAAAGGAGATTATATTTCCCTAGAGAATTTTTCTACTTTTTTTACCCTTTGAGGCATGAGAAGAATTAGATGATCTGAGCCATAAGGACAGCAGCTACTTCTTCTGTGCCTCTCCTAGCACTGAGTGGTGCCCAGTCAATACTTGTTGATTGATTGATTTTGTAAAGGTCTTTTCATCTTATTTTGTCCCAGCTCCAACAACACGTATGTGAACAACAAATAAAATTTTGAAATAGAATTCATCCCTAGGGTACTGGATATTGTTTTTGATTTTTTTTTAAAAAAAGATTTATTTATTTATTTATATGAGCACTGGGTGCAGTCAGAAGTGCGGGAGGGTGAGGGAATGCACCAGAGCCAGAGCAGGGAACAGAACAGGCAGACTGACGAAGTACACTGCTGAGGGGAGCAGCGGGTGGCAGGAGAGGTCTGCGCGCCATGTGGGACCCTCGCAAGGTGGCCAGGGATCGAACCAGCGCTGCAGAGGCTGCGGGCAGTTTTGCAACCCAGCGCTCAATCGCTGCACCACCGGGGAGGCCCATGAGTCACTGTTTTTAAGGTTTCTTCTTCTGGCTTGTAACATCTATGATTGTGGCCTGGCTGACTGCAGGAGTATGTTCTTTGCCTTCAAAAACTATTGTGAAATTAAAGTGTTTTTACTTTCTTAGGCCTTCTGATGGATCTTTAGAGTATAACTCACTATTTCAAGATTTTGGTGGTCTGTATTTATATTGCTAACAATAATTTGCAAGAATCTCTGTAAAGACAGAATTCTAATTTCTTCTAACATTCTAGTTGTTAACCACCTGACAGTTACTATAGCTTTTCTTTCTTTTTAACATTTTTATGATTTTCCATTACCATTGAGAGTATTTGTTGAACACCACAGCCATTCTTTGCTGCATGCAGCTTAGTTTTCATATCCAAGTCAGAGATCTAAGTTCCTTAGCAAACAAGAATACAAATCCCCTGTATAGATAGAGTATGTGAAGTGATAGGGAAGCAAAGTGGTTTTGCTTTCTTAGGCCTTCTGATGGATCTTTAGAGTATAACTCACTATTTTCAGATTTTGGTGGTATGTATTTATACTGCTAACAATAATTTGCAAGAATATCTCTGTTGTAACTGTAGAATTCAAGGTTTGGAGGTCTTAGAACATAAACTTTCACTAAGATTTTTTTTCTACTCAAAATGTCAACCATTTGGCCTAGGGAATCAGAGTAGACTAAGTAATGAACTAAAGATAGGAACTAGCTCTAGATGAGTTCTTACTCCTTTCTAGCACAGTAAATTTGTTCACTAAAATACATTTATTACCAGTCAAAATTTAGAAGAAAGAACAATATGAAAAGAACGTATTTTAAAAGGTGTTCAAAGTCTGTTTTTAGGTTATCTTTTCTGACTTTGCTTTGTCAGGGATTTTCATGAACTCGTAGCATTTTGTTCTGCATTACCTCATAGACTTACTCTATCTTTTCAAGGTACCTGTCCCTTGTGCCAGGTAGACTCATTACTCATACAAATCTAGGTTATATTTTTCTAGGAAAATTAATTACTTCATACTGGCTACATATGGTTAGCTTGTCAGCAGGAAAGCTTTAACATATTTTGGGGCGGTATAATATAGGCATTAAGCAATCATTTTCTCTTTGTGCACGAAGTAGTACATTAATATATGTTAAAATGACTACATTCTGTAATACTAATGTTTTGCATGGGCTACTAAGACTTCCTTCTCATTTTTATTGCAAAGTGTCAAATACCCGTCTTCATAATCATGAAAAAGGGCACATACTGGAGAACAGATGCAGAGGTTCTGTTATGTATTTGTATATTCAAAAGGCTATATTAATGGTAGTAAAGCATTATATAAAATTGATCTAATATAGTGTGAATACCTACCATTTGCATTGCCTAGGTAAGATTACGCATTCCAGAAAAGTACATTCATTAGGGGTCCTACAATATACTTTAAGACATGTGAGGTGACTTTATGACAGTCTCTGCTACGTTTGCTGAAGCTACAGTGTCCAAATAGAAGGATTCATGCCCACTGAGAATTAGCATTTTGATAGTATCTCACTTTGTCTTTCTGAAACTTTATAAAATTCTAGAAACCATTGTTAGTAATATTTCTTTTTATATTCAAAAATGTATTCTTGAACTAACAGTCTCAAAAATATACTCTCTTCTAGAAGAAAAACAGTATTTTACCTAGGTGGGAAGTTCAAGATAGTCCTTGAAGTCAAGGAATTTTAAGACATTTCTTAGATTTCTGTGTAGAAGGGATTTCTTCTTAATTATATTAGTTGTGCTTCTAGAATCTTATTTCTTTGCACAAAAACATCTAACTTGAAGTGGCTGGGGAGAATTTTAGATATAAATGTGATATGCATGTTATTTGCTAAGGAAGTTTTCAGGTACTAAGAACTAGGTCTATCTAAAAATGTTCTCTCAGGAACCTACTGAGAGCTAAACCTTCATTGTTATGTCCTTGTTAGATTAGTAAGTTATAGTGTTACGTCATTAAGGCACTGTCTGTATTATCCTTTTGAATCTAGTAATATGTTCACGTTTTTTTGTGGGGTGTTTTATTTTAAATAGCAGTCACTTTATGAAGTAATAGCTTTCTGACTCCCAAGCTAGCATAGTTTTCATTAGATTTGGTGTCCTATGAGCTTTGTATAGCCATGTTTTTGCCCCTTTCTTTAGGTCTGTCAGTGTGGAACTAGCCCCTATTTAAACCTTGTTGCATTCTGTTACTGTTTTCTTCAAGACCTTGCCTCAAAATGCTTTTGATATATACAGTAGTTGTTGAAGTTCTATAGTTTTATTACTACTGTCTCATTGATGTATTTGAAGCCTCAATTAAAACAAATCATTATTTTAAATCTCAAATTCTAGTATGTTTGGTCAAGGAATTCATGTATAGCTTTAACATAGTATCTTCCTCCAGCCTTCATGCAAATGGATCGCCTCCTCACATGTGTTGGTGGAACACAGGGTATTAAATTTAAGGAAGAACTTGCTGACCCTTTAGCCCTTTTGTTCTCTTTGACACCTGCAACCCTGGCATTCCCCAAGGGGAAATCCAGTACCCCAAACACGGTTAACTTGGAGTGTGATAGAGTGTGGCTTCACATCACTTCTGTCTCCAGCTTTGCCCAGGCTTCCTCCCTCAGACTCTGCTAATTTAGTATTGTGTCAGGAGTCATTCTCCTTCCCTGTGTTTCTGAAGAGAGTCAATTTAGTACAAATTGGGACCTATTTACTCTTCCTCTCTCTAACACATACTGTTGTTAGTCAGCAGGACTCCTGAGATAGCAATTGGTATTGGAAGAAATACCCTCTTTAGATCTTTCTGAATATGTGTTAAACTTCACCCAGCAGATTTCATTATTGAACAAAAATTAAAGTAATGATAGGAATGCCTTGTAATTTGTTGCCTCTGTATCCTGTAACCTTTTTAAATTTTACTTTCTGCAAAAATTATGTATATTTCATTACTTAATTAAACATTATCATTTAGTTAAAGCTTTCTTTTCATGGAGCATCTGAATTGTTAATTTTTTCTTTGAGGGATGACTCCAAATTCCTCACAAAAACAGCCAGAGCTTTTCTCTGCTCCTGCTATCAGTTTTAGGGGACATATTGCTTCGTCGGTACTGTCATACCAATAAATCATCCCAGATTACTTGCAGCCGTACAGTACTAAAGTATACCATGCATTTTAAAGGAAATCTGCTATTTTCTTTTCAATCAGATGAGCAATGTGAAGAGACTACGGCCACGGCTCAGTGCTATTCTCTTTAAGCTTCAGTTTGAAGAGCAGGTGAACAACATCAAACCTGACATCATGGCTGTCAGTACTGCCTGTGAAGAGATAAAGAAGAGCAAAAGCTTTAGCAAGTTGCTGGAACTGGTATTGCTAATGGGAAACTACATGAACGCCGGCTCCCGGAATGCTCAAACCTTCGGATTTAACCTTAGCTCCCTCTGTAAAGTGAGTTTGTTGTTTTTTTTTTTTTTTTTTAAACACATATTTGCCTGAACACATTCTTAAATGTCAGCCCCGATTACATTATTTAAATATATTTTTATTTTGACATGCTCATTATCAAGAGCTTGAACTGAACCATGCTCCCAAACCCACAGTGAACTGAACTAATTTACTCAACCTCCGAACTAAATCCAAATATTAATTTTCTCTCTTGTGCAAATCCAACTGAAAGATATTGCTTAATAACAAAATTATGTTGTAAACCTATGCTTTCTCAGACTAATGAAATGGGTCATCAAAATATTACTTAAAGTTAAAATTCAATTGAGATACCTGTGTATCAGGATATCAGGGTATTTATATTGAGAATTACTTAGGAATGTCACTAAAATTTTTACCTTTAGCTATTAAAATATTTCTTTGCATGTTTCCTCTTGCAAGCTGACTATAGGAGGAGGAAAGTGAGACTGCTTTATACTAAGAGAAACATCATTTATTAGGAATACACGTACCTTCAGTGTCACTGATGAGTTTGAAATGTTTCTATCTAAATATAGTTTTACAGGATGTTAAAATTGAGTCAAGTGAAAGATTTTTGTTTCTCCTGCATTCATTTACAGGTTAAATTTCCCTACAGCAAATATTTTCAATGTTTTATATAACAGGGCTCTTTCCTAAGAAATGAGCCATAGTAATACTGCTTCATTGATCTGCTTACAACAAATTGTTCTCAGTTACACATCATGAGAAAAGCTTTTTCTTGTTCTTGACCTGGTAACATCTACACTCCCTGATGAAGGAATTTGATTATTGCCACTGCCAGTTAGGTAGGGAAGGTGAGAAACAAGTTCAGTTCTAACTATTGGTTTACTGAATTGTTAATCTCTTGGTGCTTTCATGCCTTTCTTACATGATTTCTCTGACCTAAAACTCCTAGTAGTATCAATATCTTGTCAACTTGTTTCCTTTCCCATCTCCATCTTTATTTTCCTCTCTTTTTAGCTCAGCCTTCTATATTTAGCTATGTTCCTTAGTATGTGTGATGCAATTCCTAACACATGTGTTGAGGACTTTACACCTATCTCAAGGGTTTACTCAGGCTAAAATACCAAGTCATAATTCTTTTTTTTTAAAGATTTAATTTATCTATCTATCTATCAATCTATCTATTTATTTATTTTTACAAGCACTGGGTACAGTCAGAAGTGCGGGAGGGTGAGAGAATTCACCAGAGCCAGAGCAGGGAACAGTACAGGCAGACTGACACAGTACACTGCTGAGGGGAGCAGCGGGCGGCAGGAGAGGTCTCCGCACCATGTGGGACCCTCGCCCAGTGGCTGGGGATTGAATCGGTGCTGCAGAGGCTGCGGGCAGCTTTGCAACCCATCGCTCAACCACTGTGCCACCGGGGATGCCCTAAATCATAATTCTTGACCTGATCATTTAATGTCTATGATTAATATTTGCCTGGCATACATAGATTTCCTATTTTTCACATGTGGACCATCAATTATGATTAAGTGTTTTTAGTTTGTTTTTCTGGGGCAATAAAGAAAAAAGGTATGGCCATAGATTTATGAAAGAGGGGGACCGATTTTGCTGAGAGAGAGTAGGTAAGTATTCAGAAAGGAATAAGAACTTGAGCTGGTCTGGAAAGCTGAGTGCATGTTCCCTGGGAGGATATGACAGCAGATTTCATAAAGAATTAGAGCATGGCATGTGTGATCCAGTGTGATCATATCAAGTGATTTGCTAAAGTTAGAGACTAGATAAGAAAAGAGTGGAAAAGGGGAAATGACATAGTATATTGGTGGAGGTGGGAAAGAGCATTCACTGTCACACCTTATGGGGAAGGGTTATTGAAAGCAAAATGGTGTTATTATATGTCTTGTGGGAAGAGAATTCTAACTGTATGGCGGAAAGTTAAATTGTACTGACCAGTATTGTCACATTAGCTACATATGGCTGCTTAAATTTAAACTAAAATCTAAATACAAGTAAGAATTTCATTCCTCAGGCAAACTTGCTTTGCTTTGTGTAACTCAGTGTGCATAAATGTTGGGAACAACCACATAACACATTTTCATCATTGCAGAAAGTTCTATTGGACAACACTGGTTTAGAGGGTTGTGGGGAGTGACTTAGTGATTGATTGATATATAGAACATGACTTAGAAAAATGACAGGAAGTCAAGATAGCAATTAGGGAAGACAAGAATGGGGCGGTGGGGGAAAAAAGAAATTAGGGGAGACAATATGGGAGGTGCTAAAATAAAGGGAGCAATCAAAAATAATTTACAGCTTAGCCAACTGGTGGGAGATGTTGCTACTGACGTATTAAAAGTGCCTGTTCAAAATAGATTGCCTTCAGGGTGCTTTTTGTGTCTTCTTCCCCTTGTTGCCCTCAGTCTCTGGAGAGGATATCTGATTAAAACTACCCTATTCAATTATTTAGCAAATATTGCAGCGTCCATTATGTAACAGTCTCTACGCTTTGGGATGATGAAGGTCTGAGCTAAGACAGTGGACAAGGAGGTTGAGGCAGAGTGGGAAAAGGATTGAAGGGAGGAAGATCCAGATAATTGTCAGGACCTGGTAGTTATGAAATTGTAGAGTGAAGGACACAGAGAAAGCAAAACTGCCAGATTCGGCTTTCTCTGAGAAAAGAAGCAAAGGAAGAAAAACAGTAGGAGAAGCAAGGTAGAGGAAAAGTTAAGTAGATACCTACACATCTACTGGATTTTATACATAGTTCTAAATTGGGCATTTCAAATTTGCATCTCAGAAATATAATCAACTCATCAAAATTTGATTTCATGACCTCTCTCTTTTTTTTAATGATTTATTTATTTATTTTATACAAGCACTGGGATACAGCCAGAAGCGCGGGAGGGTGAGAATTCACCAGAGCCAGAGCGGAGAGTAGAACAGGCAGACTGACGAAGTACACTGCTGAGGGGAGCAGCGTGCGGCAGGAGAGGTCTGTGCACCATGTGGGACCCTTGCTAGCGTCCGGGGATCAAACTGGTGCTGCACAGGCTGCGGGCAGCTTTGCAGCCCAGCACTCAACCGCTGCCCCACCAGGGGAGGCCCTCATGACCTCTCTTACGCCTTCTTCTAAACAGAGCTGTTGACAGGAAATCAGGTCTGATCAGTAAGGGGGATTGGCCTAATACAGCGCTTGATATATATTATGTAATCAATAAATGGCTGCTGAATGAATGGTGCAGCAGGCACAGTGCTATGCCTCTCTATTTTATACCAAATAGACTACTCTCATGCTAAAATTCAGTCACCGATACATAGTAATTTTAAAACCTTTTACAAATGCAATGCATGCTGTTACTATTTTTATTGCAGTTAATCTGCAAACCTGTTAACCTTTCCTTGGATAATAGAGTTGACTGTATTTTCAGGCAATGATACTGGATATTTTGATCATTCCTCTTAGGAGCCTTCTGTTGTGCAAGAACAAAATAAGTACTACGACTTCTTTTTTTTTTATTATCCTACATGTCAACTTGAAAGCACATATTGAACAAGATGTTATCATGTTTGTTTATCAGAAGTAGCAGCTTGATCTTTGACAGTTGTGATTGAATTTTCACAAAGTATAAAGCATTTGGTTTGATGATTAGCCCCCACACAAGGAATTCCATATGTATTTGACAGTAGACAGTAATATTTTAATTTGTTAAAATCTGCTAAGTAATTATATATTTAAATATAAATATAAATTCTATATTTAAAATTTTTACTTTTAAATGCCCTTTATAAATTTAGCTCAAGTATTTGAAGTGAATAGAAATTCATACTTAATTGATAATTTTGGATTGTTAAAAAATAATTAGGTGAATTATCAATTCTATATACAGTTTTAGGAGCCATGTTGTATCTTTTTGTCCATTTGTATTTAAGATGACTAACTTTAATAACTAGGTTCAGAGACAAAAGGTTATTTCCTTTTATTTTTCACCCCACAGATTTGATATGTCCTATGACAAATAGAAATAAAAGTAAATTAAGAGATAAAAGTAAACCAACTAGAACCTGTAATTAAAATAGAAATAGAAATTAAAGTAGTTGTAGGCTTGAGGCTTTCTAGTGGTAAAAGTGAAGGGCTACCAATGTCACAAAACTTTTCATGAGTTTTGATTAGCCAAACCTGAACTTCACAAGAAAATTTAAATGCATATTGTTATTAAAGAAATATGTGGTGTCAAGCAGTGTTCATGTAAACAGCAAATGAATTGTTTCTATGAGATTTTTTTTCTTAGAAACTTCTCTACTTTCTTTACATCCTTCCCCTTCCCCTACAAATAAGTATTCAGGGTGTCTTAGGACTTGACTCTGTAAGAGAACACTTACGGTAAGATGGACATTAACTTTTCAGTTATAGTAACACTATACAAAGTTTATACAAAGTTTGTACAAAATGTTTAAGAACTTGCTTTCTGATAGCTTGACTTTTTAAAAGGATAAACCATAGAATATATGGAAGAATGGATGAACTTCTCGTCACTCATAAAGTCCTCTAAAGATACTAGACTTTAGATAAAAATTGGGCAATAGGCTGTTTGATAATTGTATAATTTCTGAGGACCTGGAATTGATTAAATGCAAATAATAACCTTAAAAGTTCAGTCATCAAATGTAGACCATTGCCTGACCCTACCTAGAAAAATTTTTATCTGGTTAGTGTTGAAGTTACTTCTAGAAAACCTGTCAGTAGGCCAAGTGGACCAGCAGTCTACCAAAAAATGAATTAACACGTTCATCAAGGTGCAAAATCATATTAACGTAGGAGGTGGTTTTAACTTGTAAAGGTAAAGGGCAAATGTTATTAGTCTATACATAGTAACATAACAAGTGCTTACTGTTTAGTGTCTAAGAAGAAGTGTGATTTCTGAATATTTTTCAAACTATCCCTATCAATACAACTAAATGGTACAGCTGTAAAAGCTAGATCTTTACCCTAGATGGTTAGAGAAATTCAATTCCTA